TAAGCACAATTTTTTTATAAGTATTTAAGTTCAATTTTTAACAAAACTCGTAAAAATCATGAAAATGTGTAAATTCTCAGTAATTTTTTATGAGCGTCTGAAGTTTGAATTTTTACAGAACTCACCAAAATTAGGAAAATTTGCAAATTATTTTAATTTAGAAATTCATAAATATTTTTGTTTCCATATTATCTAAGATTTAAAAATTTTAATACAATAGATTCATCATAAGTTTTTCTACCATTAACAAAAAACAAATTAACTTTTAATGAGCATTTGAAGTTTAACATTGTTTTGACATGTATAATATTATTCACCTGCTATCTAACGATTTCTCAATTTGGAACGATTTTCTTATTTTGTTGTATTTAAAAAATAAAAAAATGTAGATATTTTCAACTTATTTTTTTCTTAATATCTATAGTGTAACAAAGCGTTGTCAAACAGTTTGAAAATTTGATACAAGATTCCTTATATTTAGTTAAGTTTTATAATATATGTTCAACAATTTTAAAAATATAGGTACGTAAAAAATATAAACAAATAAATAGTTTTTGACAAAAGTATCTTGTGTAACGTAAATATGAACTACCGTATAAATACTTGACATTTTCTCCAGGTTCAAGGTTCCTCGTAAGTTTCAATTATATACAGTTTAAAAAACATCGAATATACATAATGGCAATCTTTTTTATAAGCGTTTAAAGTTCAAATTATACTGAAATTCGTCAAAATCGAGAAAATGTACAAATTATTTTGTCATGAGTGTCTCATATTATGAACTCCCCAGACAGGCATTAAAATATATTAATATCAAATAGATAATTGAAATTTTCTAATGAGTGAAATATTTTAATCTGGACAGTCTAATTGATGTCACAATTATTAATAGAAAATTAAAAAACATAAATTAGTACACTCATGTACAAGTGTTTTATTTGATAGGATTAATATATTATGCAGATACCTACACAGGTCATAAAAACAATTTAGTAATTGTTAAAAATAGTACCAATACCCATTAAGAATTTAAATTTGATCATTTGAATGATCTTAACATAACTGATCAGTGATCTTGTTGCGAGATTCATATATTGTTATCACATTTATATTACCTATAGATACTAGCTATCCCGCCCGACTTTGCATATTCCAAATTTATACTAAATATAATCTTTATTTATATAATTTTTCTGTAAGTTTGCGATACGTAGACAATAATATTATTGTTTAACACGTTATTCTTTATTTTTAAATAACAATACACTCTCCAAATATAAACCATTTAAAATACAACTGTTTTGTCAAATACTATTTTTTTTATTATCGCAAAAATGTCAGAATTATATAATTGAATCTAGCAAAATATTTAAAAAAAAATAATAATATTGTTTTTAAAAAAAAGGGTTTTCAATTAACTGTACTCTAATAACCATTGCCGTTGAAGGGTTTTATAAAAAAAAAAAAATGTTACTGTCGGAAAATCGTACTTATTTAAATTATTATAATATATAATATAATATTATTTCCTCAATCGGTTCTTAAAACGTATTAAAAAAAAATAAGTAAATAGTGGATACTTCATATAATATTAATTTTGCTACAAAATAATAACTTGCAGTAAATTAAAATGAAATTACCATAGAATTTATTTAAAAATTATTTCGTTGCAGCAACTTGTAAATTTAGTTAAGACTATGTCAGCCTACTGTTCGTTTTCTCTCTCTCTGGCCCACACACAACATAGACAAAGCTCATTTACGCAGAATATTTGTTTTCATGTTTTTGAGTAAAAATTAGAGTAAAATCGATTTGTCTAAATATTGTAACAAAAAAATATTTAATCATCATTTAAATTTACAAATGTTTTATTTTTGTGTTTAAAGTCGGAATACAAGGTTAAATAATAAGAAAATATACGACTGATATGTCATACTGTCAGAAATAGTATCCTCTATAATTTTTGTAAACCGTGATTTTACTATAAGATTACTTAAAAATCATAAACAACTATTTTAGGTGTAAGCGTTTTAACCATGTTGCTCTTGGGTCTGAGAGAGAAAAAAAATATTGCTCTGACATTTACTTTAGTTGATCCCCAAAAATTCAGGTTATTTGATTATTGTGGGCGACTACCGTATAATTGTCATAGCTATTATTCACGAAGGAGTTTTCCTGTATGCTATAGTTATTCCTGTGTAAGCGTAATAGCGTATCCAGCTATCTACCCTAAGTACATAATATAATATGTGTTTTTTATTTTATAAGGAATTTCAGTATGGGTTTTTTTTATCTGCTGTATCTCATGTGGGAACGGGTGATAGTAAATTTCACTGAATGTATTTTTATTGCACATACGTTCAACCAATATGAATTTTTTACCTGTTAAAAACATGCAAATTTCTTTTGATACAATAATTTCTGACTCGCAAAATAAACTCCAACGATATTATTTTTTGACACTTATAAGCTAGCAGCTCAACTATGAAAGACACATATAAAATACGCCAAACAAACTTGTTGGACATTGTTGGATTACCCCCAGACTTTTTTAGACTTTATTTTTGTCAGTAGAGCTTTAGAAACTTTTGTGCTGGCATCTATACTCCAACAGCACAACTTTACGTTAGAAAAATTTCACACGTATAAAATATGTCCAGCTTGATTTGTTTTACAATGTTGGACCACTCTTTAAATTTGTTGGACATTTTTTATTAGAGCGAAATTTTTCTAACGTAAAGTTGTGCTGTTGTAGTATTGATGACATCACAAAATTTCTAAAGCTCTACCGACAAAAATTAAATCTAACAAAATCTGGGGGTAATCCAACAATATCCAACAAGTTACCAACAAGTTTGTTGTTTGTATTGCATATGTATCTGTCATACTTGTGCTGCTAACTTTATAGGGGTTTTTTTTGACAAATTTTATTTATAAATGGTTTAAGTTAAAACCAAATATGGTTATAACGACTTGAATTTTTTTCTCAACTCAATGATAACATTAATATTACACAACGCGTATGATGCATCAAGTTTAGAACCAACGACACCATGAGAACAGCTTAGCATTACTTCTACGACAACAATTCTACATCTTCCCAACTCAAACCTAATCATAACATTCATTTAATTTTCATTTTTTTTAATGATTATTAATATATTTTTTGGGAACATACACGTTTGGTCTAGTACGACACGTAGAACCTACCACTGATTGAGATTTTCGTATACCTTGGTTTTTTTTTTTATATCGATTGTAATAAAACAAATCAGCATTAGTATTTTAGTACCTAGGTTAATACACATAAACACAATAAATTAAAATATGTCGTGGTTTATTTAAAATTTAATTTAATTTAGAGTTTACATCGGTCCGATCGAAAATCAGTATGTCTAATATATAAATATATGTATCTGTTATTAAATATAAATGTATTATTATTAGTAAAACATCGAATATTATAATATATTGAACATCAAATAATATGTATTAGGTATACTTATAAATTATAATTTAGGATTATGATGGTGTGTCGTGGATGCTGATATTCAATGTCGGTTGAGTCGGTCATCCTCGGGTCCTTTTCAGGTCTCTGACACCCATCGACGTCGACTCTCCACCATCCACCATGACTATATATCGAGGGTCAGGAGTCCCGGTCGGTCATTAACACTCTAAACATGCTAAACATAGCGTCAGCATAGATACCTAAATACACATTTGCCATTACTAACACTCAGCATATTAGCCGTGCTCGACGTAGGGAGTAATGTACGATGTTGATGCAATACAAAATCATTGCAATACCAATATATTGAGATTCTGCTATTCACTCAATTTAAAAAAATATAAATAATATAAATACATACTGACAGATTACAGTTAGGTGAAAACAAATAAATATAATTGATGTCCAAAAGCAATAAAAAAATCGCATAAGAAAAAAATTTTTTTTTAATGGATCCTAAGATTTAAATGACAAAAAGTTCTAAAATCACTTTCATAAACCATGCACCTATATGTCCCAATAATAAATTTCAAGCTTAGCGCAATCGATAGATAGATTATATTATGAATAGTATCCTGTGAAACCGATTTATAAATTTTTTCAAAACATTAAATTTCGGTTGTATCTATAAATCCCCGTTAATATTGTAGGTTCAATAGGGTGACCATACTTTCTTCTAATATTAATATTAATATAAAAATTAGAAAAAAATTACTTAAATTGAATTCTTCGTTGTTATAACTAATTTCGTCCAAATTTTAAAACATCTATTAAAAAAGATTGTATTTATATAATTTTTATTTTTTTTTTGGTTATAGTATGAACTATTTATGAGAATATTTGTTTGAATAGAAAATAATTTTCTAATCTTCATAATTTTGACGAATTTTTTCAAAATTCTAGCTACATACGCACTTAAAAATTATTGTGGATTCACACTCAAATATTTTTTAATTTTCAGTATCACAAGCTTATGGAGGACTTTGTATACTTGTATACAATTTTCAGGTTTTTTTGGCATGGAACATATTTTATATCTACAATACTTAATTAGAATTTTTACCTCGGATGCTCCAACTAGATCCACTATATCTCTAGAAAAGTTACTGAAGTTGAAAATGAATACATTATTTCGACTACTAATCGTGTACACAGCGAATAAAAAATACATCATTGTAAAATCAATGCATCCGTTGGTCAGTTCAGAATCTAAAATTATAATAAATATAATTGAGATTATTATAGTTCTGTTTATTTTACAAAATATTTTCACCCTAGGCTCAGGTATATCACTCACACGTTATCCATTTTCCATTTGGTGTAAATCAAATCAAAAAAACCAACCTCTGTAATCGCCTTGGTGACCTGGTCAGGTATGATAATATGATACTACTATTGTTACAAACAAACTAACTTTACTCGTTTCGTGAGCATCGGCGATTTTTTTTTTTTATAATAATTATCGTTTCTACTGTTTTTTTTCCTCGACATGGACGGTGAAAGCACCAATGATGTTATCATGATAGGGGAAGATGCGCCAACTGAATTTTCGGTGATCCCATTATTGATGGAGTTTGAAGAACCTGAAACTGTGAATCCTGTAACCGTGAAGAACGAACCGGTCGAAATAGAACCGGAACAGCGGCGGGAGCCGATCGCGGAATTGGCAGTGCCACAAGCGGTGAGTACGGCTGCCACCACTGCAGTTATTGCCACTCGGCTGGGTTCGGGAGAGGAAGATAATCCAACCACTGCTGCCACCACATTTACAGCCATTCGACTGGGTTCGGGAGCGGATGAAAATCCGACCACGTCGGCGGGTGACGTCAAAGACGAGAACATGGACAGGCCCTCGCGTCGCAATCGAAGCCGTGGCCGACGCAGCCGACGTGGCCGAAGCCGTCGCAGCCGCAGCCGACGTGGCCGAAGCCGTCGCAGCCGCAGCCGCAGCCGCAGTCTTCGTAGCCGGAGCAGAAGCGTCGACGACGACGGCGACTTCTATGTGCAAATCGCCGACGATGAGATTCTCGCCTATCTGGAGGCCGGAAACAAACGCGGTGGCCAGGAAACGGCCCGTGGCGGTAGAAGGGCTAAGAGGGTAGAAATCACAGGTCGCCGTGGTAGAAAGGCTACCTATGAGAGTCGCGTCAGTGGGAAAGCTATCGGTCGCACTCGCGGTGGCCGGAAGTCAGCCAGGGGCAGTCACAGAGGCCGGAAGACTACCGAATGTGGGACTGCGCGGACAATATGGAGCGAACGCTTACGTCCCATCAGCCATCTTCGGAACAAGAAATCGAAGGCAAACTAAAAGACTATATTATATTTTTGTGTCATACTATAATCATACAATAAATCACACTTGATCTAACATGATTTTTGTAATATTTTGTACAAAATAAAGAAGTGGTTGAAAAATAGTTTTCCCCGAATATTCCTTCTTAGATAAGGGGTGATATTATATAAGTGAGTAAGTTATATAAGTAAGTCCATACAGATAATAGACCCTGATCTTTGAAATCGAATCAAACACGATTCTAATTTTATACTTTATTTTAGTAAGTATACCTATACAGTTTGAAGTTTCTGCTTGAGGTAGGCAACTAAAAATAATAGAAATTTATATATATATATATATATATAGTCAGAGACTTTCATCTTAGAGGGGAGGGATGTAGTAAACCCAAAAGCTATAATATTATTTTTAATAAAATTATATAGAATAAATAAATTATACATGTAGGTAGTATAATTTATGAGTAGTAATGTAAGTTAGGTTAGGTTATTAATACAAAATATAAAATGAGGCTAAATGACAGGAAGCGTAGATCAAGGGTGAAAACAACAAGTTGTTTTACCTAACTCACACATTAATGCAATTCAACAATATTAGGGATGTATTAATACCCACAGCTATCATAGTACGTATGTTAAATAATATCATGTGGAATAAATTATGCATTTAGTATAATTTTTGATGGGTAATGTAGGTATCAATATGCAATTTAAAGTGAGCCTAAATAACGGAAAGCGTGGATCAGAGGTGAAAACAACAAATTGTTTTACCTAGTCCCACGATAATGCCATTTGACATTATTAGGGAAGTAAAATTAGAATATAGAGATCACGCTACCAATGCGTCATTGTTAGAACCCCCATAAATACGGGTAGAGAGCCTACCATTACTTAGTTGATAGTCAGCCCTCGTCGTAGGTCTAACAAGCTTACAAATATAGCTAATTCAACGTAAATTAAATAAAGTTATTATTCATGGAGGCGTGAGACATTTATTCTTATTTTTAGAGTTGTTTGATATTTATTATTATTTTTAGAGGTGCTTGAATAAAAAAACGTTCTGAATCTACTGATGCTACTGTACACAAAAAATATCATATCTATAAAATATTATATGATTGAGGTTATATTATTTATATTATATGTTAGGGTCCGCTGACGCAAAATGCGTTATCATAAATTTGTTATTATTCTAGCTTATGGCCTTATATCTCCGGGCTCGCACACATACACACCGCCTCATCATAAGAACAGCCGGCCTCACACACGACACACGTACCTATTCACCTTTAATCATAATTATTGTTACACATTTGTTTGTACTAAATGTGTCTTGTGAGTTATATAATATTAAAGTAGATTATTCCCTATGATAGACGTGTTCGTCCGCTCAAGTTTAGTTAGTTCGGCTTAAACTGCTAGTGCGAAAGCAGGCTCTTGTTTACTTTCGCAAATCGCCATAGATATTATTGTATAAGTTCGTATCTATTGTTGATACAAATTGCCAATTATCGTTTTATTATAATTATTTATATTATATCATGGGCGCGAAACGCCAACTAATTATATTATATTGCGGTGCGAATCGCCACTACTAATATTTTGTACCAATAGTACATTATTATCATTTATAAGTTGTAGCACGCTGTACCGATACGCGTGCACATCGTTGGCAAGATCTTACTATTATAATATTTTATTTTTGTGTGCTGGGATTTCTTCACCCATTTTTTTTTTTATACTATTTAGCACAAAACCAGCTGGCCACCAAACTGTACTCCACAAAATTGTGAGTTTTTCATTATTATTTGTTTTATTTTTGTAGAAGTGCTAATGTTTTTTATATTATAAATAATGTTTGGCTAGAAAGGCTGCTGTATATATTATTCTTTATTACGATTATTATTATACAGTTAACTCTTAGTTACCCACCTACCAAAATCCGTGTTACCATTTTATTTCTAGTCTTAACTACACACACACACAAGCCAATACAATACACATATTTGTACCATATGCATTATGTAGTTCGATAATATTTTCCTGGCGAACCCGACCTACTATTCGAACTACCACACCACTACACATACAGCTATTCTGCCGTTGTTCTAGATTTGTAGGTGTTAGTGACGTCAATTATTGGTGTCCGGGCAAGCCTATTGTATGCTCCTGGTCCATACAATATACCTATATAAATATTTCCATCATCTTCTCCCACCACACTTTTGATCACAACTGCTGGTTAGTGCCAGTACAAAAGAAGAAATACATATTTTAACATTTTGGCACAATATGGTACCAATTTTTTTAATACTTAAAAATGAAAAGTACTTCCAACCAATCCGATTCCTAGAAATTTGTCAGGTGAAATAATATTTAACATCGTTTTGACTTTTAGAGTGCCTTAAAAATATACATATATAGTGACTATAATAAATATTGGCACGTGTCTGAGTGAACGGAAGTACCAACGAATAAATAAACCATTCGTTCATGCGGTTGGTGCAGTTTCCATTTTCAAGTGTAGACTCACACACACAAATTTCCCTTACACGACGTGTCACACGCTAACAAATAACCAACACGTCGTCTAAAAAATGTGCCTATATTATTATTCTTAAAACACAGAAGGCCATAAATTATAATATGTCGTCTATTTGTTTATTATTGTTACTTTTTGTTACTTATTCCCAGGCACGGATCTATAGGGGAGGAGGGCTAAGGGGTCTTAAAAATCGTATTTATTTTATAATTATAAAATATATGTATAATAAATTATTGGTTGAATTTTTGGTTTTCTACTTAATCTTCCACAGTTTAAACTATTGTAATTCAAATATTTTATAATATAATATATTACTTGGTTAGGTTAGGTGAGGTTATAATAAAAATAAAAATAAAGATAATCAAATTTGATTTTTAATGTTGGTTATTATATCATTCAAAATATGTAGACTCTAGGTTGTATTTATATTATGGTTGATAATACATTAAACATTGATTGAATATAATTAAATAGGTATTTAAATTAGGTACCTGTTATGCAAATAGATAAAAATTAAAAAATGTTTTTGAAAAAAAAAATATAAATACATAATATTCAAAACGTAGGGAAATTGTCGGTTCACCTATTGTAACATTATTGTACTTAATAAATTATTTTGTTCTTTGTTTCTAATATACGAATAAATGTATAATATATTGATATGTACCTTACTTTATAGCTTATATAGCTTATATCGTTAGTTCTATTATTATAATCATGACAAAATACACTTGAAAAACATAAATTGTAATTAGGTATGTAATTTAATTATTGTTGGTTACTTTTCGCCGATTTATTAATTTGATTCATATAATTTTTTAATGTCGTCGAGAGACTTTCTTTTAGTTTCCTAAAATGTTAAAAATATATTCCAAGCATGGAAATGTACCACCAAAAGCCAAACACATAGATATCAAATCGAAAATATACAAAAGAACTCAACAGATATAATAAATACCAAACATTCTGGATGTAGCACAAGCTTAGATGCAATGGGACAAAATATAGAAAATAACTAATTATCATTATTCTGAATAAAGAACAAATGTCAAAATAAATTATCATTTTAAAAATATCTGTACATAAATACATTGTAGGTTCTTATTATGTCACAGTATAAAAAAAAAATGTAAAACAATTGATATGAAAATGTATAAGTTGAATAAAACTATAATTGCCCAAAAATAATAAATATTATATTAAGTCAGTCTATATATTTGGAAAATTTCATTGAGTAACTATAAAAAATAATTATTATTTATACAACAGTGCCACAGTGGGATGTTTCAACTTTCAAGTTGTTATTATCAACACTTTTTGAGCTACAACAATCAATGTAAGAAACTCGATGAGAAATCTTTCATTTAAGAGTATTTAAACTTTAGACACTGATAAAAAATATTTTTTGAATTGCACTTCATTTTTTTTTTTATAATTTTTGTAAGAAAAAAGTATATGAACCTCTTTAATTAAATTTTCAAACATTATTTAAATTTTGATGAATATTGTAAAAAAATTAGTTTAAAACTTTAAAACTCCAATACAAATATTTGATATTTTTAAAAAGTCACGAATTTTTTTTTATAAGATTTTAAAAATGAAAAGTAGACACTAAAATGTTTATATTATTTTTTAGATAAAAAAAAACAAACCCTTGCAAATATCATTGTACAACCAATATACATTTTTTGCACAAAGTTCATTTGGTTCGAAATATAGATAAGTATTATATATTATTTCAACTCTATTTATCCCTCTTATTATTGATCTGCGTGGACTTGGTAATTTCCTGTATACGACGGCCGGCCACGGTGAACTCGGAACCTTAATATAGACTTTGATCAGTGCTGAAATCAGCTGTCAAAATCAATAACAAAAACAATATATAATATTGAACAGGTAAATAAGTGACAAGTTCACAATTATAGGTAACTAAGATACGACTATCATAATGATAATTATTAATTTATTAATATCGAATCTCAACAATAATTGTAATAGTAATAAGACTATAAGAGTGTGATAATATAATGTATAGCAAAAATGTCAAGTGTAAAGCACGTACTTATACATAATGCAATTTCAGATGATCCGATGACGTGTACCTACTCCGTACTCAGTAGGTGTTTCATGTTAATATCTTTATACTAAATTAAAAAAGTGTAACGAGTAATGACAATAACTACTAAACAAGTCACTACGACTATAACGACTAATAATCAAGTTTAAGTTACTGTTTGTTAACAAACTAAAAACCCAATCCAATAGCAAAGAGCGTATATTATAGTAGTTTATTTAAAAAATCACAAAAATAGAATATAAATTGTTTAATGTGAAGACAACAAAATATAGTTATCACACATTGGTATACACATCAACACGTTACGTAGTAATTACGAGAATTTCATAAAACGCGTACTTATGCGGCGGTGCTCGGTTGTAGAATTACAAGACTTCATGAATATTATCAT